AAAATTTGTAAACCAAAACGCGGTTTCCCATAGGAATGCATTGAAAACTAATTAATCCGTTCCAGAGGTCAGACAAAAGTAAAAAAAAAGTCTTTTATCTGTTCAAAACTCTTTATAAAGTGCACTTTAAAGGCATAAATACTGTACAGGGACATGATTAAAAATTAATTCATAAATGCATTGAAAACCAATTCATCTGTTCCGGAGGTCAGAAAAAAGTAAAAAAAGTCTTATCTGTTTAAAACTCTTTATACAGTGCACTTTAAAAGCATAGTACTGTACAAGGACATGATTAAAAAAAAATTTGTAAATGCATTGAAAACCAATTAATCCATTAGTATTGCAAAAAAAATTCATAAACCTAGGCATTATTTTCAATGGATTTTTATTTGTAAACTGAAAATTACGTTAACCGAGGCATTCGTAAACCGTGGTACGCCTGTACTTTGATGATATGTTACACATTAACATTGGTGCTTTAACACTGTCATATAATAATACCTTTCAACTTTTGGAGCTGGTAAAGAGGAATGCTTTTTAGTGCTAAAATGTTTACACAAAAACATATAAAAAACAATAAATTCCATCTGCTTGAAGGGTTACGCTGGGAAACTTTACTTCTTTTAGTCTACTGCTTGAAAATGTAATGACACTTCATGGTGGGTCTTGCCATTCTTGTACAGTAGTGAGGTTGTATTTTAGTGTCATCTTCCACAAGAATCCAAAGGATTCCTGTGGGTAGATTCACAGGTGGATGCTGATTGTTGCTGCCACTATAGCCACACACGATGAGAATATCAGATGAATGATCATCCGTTTTTGGGGTTTATTTGGCATGCTAGTCTCATATAAAAAATGAATAGATTACTAAAATTACCAAAATTCTCATAAAACAGAATACAACTTGGGAAGTGATGCAATGTAATCTATTGTATTGTAATGCATTCTTTCGTTTCCGAACATGTGTGGTCTAGGTCACTCAATTTTTTACAGAAGAATACTGTGCTGATCAAATGAAAATCATGTGTTCTGTTATCATACAAGAAAAATTTGTGCCTTGTCCCTTCAGAGATTTTCACATGAACTGTCCCGATTTGGCTCTCAAAAGTTGTGTACTAATGATCAGATTATTGGAGAACATTCTGAAAGCAGTTTTTTCCATCCAATATTCCCATCATGTGTACTAGGCTTTAGCCTGTATAAAGCACCTGTCCACCAGTATTTTGATTTAATTGCACATTATTATTATACAGGATTTATATAGCGCCAACAGTTTGCGCAGCCCTTTACAAAATGACATAGAGCATTACCTGAGGTTAGGGACAGATGATGACCCAAGGACACAAATGGCTTGCATCCAGGGGTGATTATTTGTACCTAACTGCAGGTATCCATGCTCAATTGCATCTGAATACCAACGGGCAGCTGCAGTCACTGTCAGAATACATTGCTATGTACAGGCTGAGTGGCTGCAACTATCTCCATCCACCTGTGAAACCAACTGCATTACCTGGATTCTTGGCAAAGCTGGCACTAAAATATCATGTGAATAATGCCTAAATGCATAGTTGTTTCCAAGGCTGCAGCTGTTTGATTGAATGCTGCAACTTTAAATGACCTCGGAAGACATCTTGGTGTGGGACTGTAACAAATAGGCAGGGCTGGGAAAATGGATGGGGAGGGGGCCCCTGGGCAGAAGAATGGTTTACTTTAGGGATGGGGGTGCCTTCCTTCTGGTACAAAGCTGACAGGAAGTAGTGACAGCGGTGGGCAGTGATTTTGACAAGCGAGTGACTGCTGGGTATAAGATCACCTAAGCTTGCACATTATGACGGGGTGTGGATTAGGAGCACAGTTTGACATCTTTACCCTGGGCACTGGATTGCCTTGTCCCAGCACTGTGAATAGGGTGTCCAAGCAATTTGGTTGTGCCTGGAGTGTGTGGATAGGAGAGAGGGACAGAGAACCCATTTGACAGGGAGTGTCAGGAATGGACTTGCCAGTAATGGTGGGACTCACCTGCCTTGTGGGCTGCAGTACCAGGGCTGGCCAGCGGGTGCTCTCAGCAATCAGAGACTCAACCCCTGCAGCCAGCAAACACCTGAAGCTGATTATGCAGGTGTATTTAAGGGGGGATGGCCAGACCTGCAGTCTGGGCCTTGGTGTGTGGTTTTCCTGGGCCCCTGTATCTTGTTACCTGCATCCCTGTTCCTGTTCCTGTTTCTGTTCCTGTCTGACTGATTCGTTGCTGACCCTGCCTGTTCCGGACCTCTGCTGACTTCTCCTGTTTGATCCCTGGCTTGTGACCCCGACTATTCTCTGCCTGACCCCCTGTACCTACCTGCCATTAGTTGCTTCTGTACCGGCTCGTGACCTGACTGCTCTCTGCCTGCTCCTCCTGTTCCTACCTGCCCGATTGTTATTGACCCGGCCTGCCTGACGACGCTTGCCTTGTATGTATTGTTATCTGTGGGTTGGTTTGGTTTGGTTCGTTTGCACTGTATTTGTTTTAGTATTGCACTGCGTTTATGTATTGTTAGTGTTAATAAATTATTGTTATAACATATCTGAAGCCTGCGTTTCACTGCGTCAGTTCACATACCTCTGGTCACACCCTGGAGCCCTGACATTACACAAGGCCAATCCTGACCAGAAGTGGCCACTGCACAGGGAAGCCATGGTTGGCTTGTTGGGGGGAAGGATGGTCTTGATGAGGTTGTGTATTTGTCGCTGCTGGTTTTTGATGACAGAGAATATGCTTATCAGGCTCTGAGGGAGTATACCCGGGATCAACTGCTAGAATGTATACGGATCGCTCATGTTTAGTAGATCAGGGCACAGAGTTCTCTGAGGTGCAACCTTTGATTCAGGTTTGTGTAGAGTTGGCTTCATCTGGTACCCTGAAAGCAGGAATGACTTTTTTGCCACCATTTAGTGCAGACCAGGTAGAGTCCCCTGGTATGGTTATTAGAGGATGATGTGGATTGCTTCTTGAAACATTATGCTGCATGTTCACACAGGTATTAAGGAATTGTATAAACGCAGTGCAGTCTTTGACCAGACAGGCTTTGTGTAAGCTGAGCTTTGTTCAACCCATACTGCAGACATGGTTAGACTTGTTGCACCAGGCCTCAGTCAGCTTGCAAAAACCCAGTCATGCTTCTAATCTATTTCTTCAAAGCTCTATTCCTGACATTGCCCAAAGCACCTCCAGTTACAGCCCAGTATACCTGCTATCTACCGCAGTCAGTACCCTGTTCCCACTCGCTGCACCTATCCTGCCTTTAACCCTGTAAGAAGTCCTCTGTAGCAACTGTTCCCTACCCTGTTCCATCCTCCAGCTCTTCTCTGTCTCCAGCTGGCTCCATCCGTTTACAAACCTGTGCTTACTTACAGTGCTCCGGTAACTAAAACCAGGAAAAGGCGAAAGTTCTTTCCAACCAGTACCATCCTGCCAGTATCCAAACCGGTCAGCCTCCCATCTGAGAACCTACCTTCCATGGTGCAGCCTGGTGCCTCGGCACCCACAATTCAGCCTGATGCCTCTACCCAGCCTGATGCCTCTACCCAGCCTGATCCTCCATTCAGCCTGATGCCTCCATTCAGCCTGATGCCTCCATTCAGCCTGATGTCTCTCTACCCAGTGATGTTTCTACCCAGTCTGATGAACTGATCCAGCCTGATGATCCTATTAGGCAGTTGACTCGATGCCTGCTGTTGATCCTGACGATCCGGTACCTGATGACCAGTGCCCGCTGTCATGCCTGGTGACCCGATGCCTGTCGAGCCAGACGATCCAACGCCAGATGACCGGGTGCCCACTGTCGATCCAGACGATCCGGTAGGGTAACCTGATGACCCGGTGCCCGCTGTCATGCTGGTGACCCGATGCCCGCTGCCGGGCAGACAATCCAATGTCTGACCCAGTGCCCGCGGTCATGCCAGTTGACTCGGAGCCCACTGTCGTGCCTGGTGACTCGGTGCCCACTGCCTTGCCAGATGACGCTTGCCCGCTGGCGAGCCAAATGACCTGATGCCTGGTGACCAGTGTCCGCTGTCATGCCTGGTGACCCGATACCCGCTGTCAAGCCAGACGATCCCAACGCCAGATGACCCGGTGCCTGCTGTCGATCCAGACGATCCGGGGTACCTGATGACCCGGTGCTCGCTGTCTTGCCAATTGTCTCAGAGCCACTGTCTTGCTGGTGACTCGGTGCCCACTGCCTTGCCAGATGACGCGGTGCCCGCTGTCGAGCCAAATGACCTGATGCCTGGTGACCCGATGCCCGTTGTCGTGCCTGATGACCCGGTTGCCGCCGCTCCGCTGGGGGCCGTGTCTGCCACCCTCTGGGGGCCGGTGCCCCGCCGCTCCGCCTTTGGGGGCTGGCGCCCGTCGCTCCCCCTGGGGGCCCGGTGCCTGTCGCCCCTCCTTCGCCGCCTGGGGGCCCGATGCCTGTCGCCCGCCTGGGGGCCGATGCCTGCTGCTTTGGGGGCCCGATGCTGCTATCCACCTGGTGGCCCGGTGCCTGTGCTTTGGTGATCCGGTGTCCAGCCCGATGTGCCACTGCCCGGAGTCCTGCCCGATGTGCCGCTGCCCGGAGTCCAGCCCAATGTGCCGCTGCCCGGAGTCCAGCCCGATGTGTTGCCCGGAGTCCTGCCCGAATGCCCGGAGTCCAGCCCGATGTGCCTTGCCGGAAACCAGCCGATGTGCCTCTGCCTGGAAAACCAGCCCATGTGCTCTGCCGGAGTCGGCCCGATGTGCCTCTGCCCGGAGTCCGGCCGATGTGCCTCTGCCCGGAGTCCCCGGCCGATGTGCCGCTGCCCGGAGTCAGCCCGATGTGCCGCTGCACGGAGTCCACCGATGTGGCGCTTGTCCCCAGTCCTGCCCGACCGCTGCCCAGAGTCCTGCCCCTGTGCCAGTCTTTGATATCCCGCCAGTTACCAGACCTGGGCGGTGGAACATTTTTGCCCAGTAGGACTGTTTGGAGCGTCCTGACTCAACTGTCAGGAATGGACTTGCCATAATGGTGGGACTCGCCTGCTTGTGGGCTGCAGTACAGGGCTGGCCAGCGGGGTTCAGCAATCAGAGACTCACCCTGCAGCCAGCCAAACACTGAAGCTGATTATGCAGGGATGGCCAGATGCAGTCTGGGCCTTGGTGTGTGGTTTTCCTGGGGCCCCTGTATCTTGTTACCTGCATCCCGTTCCTGTTCCTGTCCTGTCTGACTGATTTGTTGCTGACCCTGCCTGATCCGGACCTCTGCTGACTTCTCCTGTTTGATCCCTGCTTGTGACCCCGACTATTCTCTGCCTGACCCCCTGTACCTACCTGCCCATTAGTTGCTGTAAGCTCGTGACCTGACTACTCTCTGCCTGCTCTCCTGTTCCTACCTGCCGATTGTTATTGACCCGGCCTGCCGACGACGCTTGCATTGTATGTATTGTTTTCTGTGGCGTTTTGGTTTGGTTCGTTTGCACTGTGTTATGTTTTAGTATTGCACTGCGTTTATGTATTGTTAGTGTTAATAAATTATATTGTTATAACATATCTGAAGCCTGCGTTTCCCTGCGTCAGTTCACATACCTCTGGTCACACCCTGGAGCCCTGACAGGGAGAGTTATCACCACATTGAGAGGTCACTCAATAGGATAGTCCCTTGTTCTCCACAGGCATTCTGGTACCCAGTACCAGCAATCAGGGGATCTTTTTAGCAGCATAGAGTGTCGCTACTCTTACACTGCAGTTTGCCAGCCCTTCTGAAGAATCTGTCTTCTGGTAAAACAAGCTAAGCCTGGAACACTGCCACTGCAATGCTGTACATTTACTGAGTGATATGCTGCTTGCAATGTTGTGCCATTATATAAATAATGAGTGTTAGAACTGTCCTCATAAAGAGCACTCAGTATTGCAAAATAGGTATACAAATATCACCTAAAGAATATATAATATATATTAAAAAATCGTGACAAAAAATTAAAATAAAAAAATATAAATAAATAAAACATACAAAATAAAATATAAAAACTTCCACCAAAGTGCACACATGTGAAAAAAGTTCAGTTCATTTGAATTATTTCAGTATTTCCTTCAGATAATCTCATCCACCATCATAGTGATCTTGTGGTGATAAACACCCCATCAGAATATGCACCCCATCAGAATATGCACCCTTAGGGTGTGAACATCTGTGACGTCAGCACGCACGCGGGATCACGTGACGAGATCACGTGACGAGATCACATGTTAATCACAGCAAGATCACTATGATGGTGGATGAGGTTATCTGAAGGAAATACTGAAATAATTAAAATGAACTGAATGTTTTTCAGATTTGTGCACTTTGGTTGAAGTTTATATATTTTTTTTTTTATTTTCTACGTTTTATTTATTTATATTTTTTTAATTAATTTTTTGCCACAATTTTTTTATACATATTATACATTCTTTTAGGTGATATTATTTATATACCTATTTTGCAATACTGAGCGCTGTTTATGAGGACAGTTCTAACACTCATTCATTTATTTATTTCATTTTATTTATTTGAAAAGGCTGCTTTGTTAGAGTTTATTATATCTGATTAACTGATGATTCATTGAGAGTTTTTGACTCTTTCCATTTAAGTGTGGAGATATGGGTTGCTTTTTGCAGCTTATATATATTCATTAATGTTGTACCATTGCCAAGTAATATACTGCTGCAATACTGTGCCTTTTTATGAGTGATATTACCAATTAAACATTGTGCTATTGCCAAGTAAAATACTGCTGTAGCATTATGCCTTTACTAAGTGTTACAGTACAACTGTGATGAACATCCTACAACTGTCACTTGAATAACAGTGCCTCTAATTACTAGTTGAAAATACTTCTGTTGACCAATATAGTCTGTACAATATTATACAATATCCCAGATTGTGTGTTTTGTGATCGTTCCCAGGTAGGGTACCACAGCCCCAGGCATCCAGGTCCCAGGTATCTCCTAGTGCTTCCCCTTTTTTACTCTCAGATACCACTGTTAATTTAATACAGTTTAATATCTAGCAATGAAGTTATACTGTTTATGTTTTTTTATTGAATACTGTGTCTCATCCAGCTCTTCTACACACATTTTCTCATGCCTCTCTATAAGTGATGTATATTGCCTCTCCTTTGAAAGCACAGCTTCATTCCTTACCATTATAGGCGGTGTTAGTAAGTTAGGCTCTCTAGTTCATTTCTATTACACACAGTGCTTTATGTCTCTGTGGTACACTCAGTACTTTACATCTCTCGCATAGTACGTCATGCTTTTCCATGACATGCATTGCCACAAGACTCTCCATAACACACATTGCCTCACTCCTTTCTGTTACATTATATGCCTCATATCAGTTTGATGCAGTGCCTCATATCTTTGTATTATACATCGTGCATGCATATTTTCACACTTCTATTATATCCAAATCCCACCTTTATTTGTAAGATGCCCCATGCCACACTGTTACAGGTGCCTCAAAGATAGACGTCAGGGTAGTCTATGCGGCATGGCTAAATGTCATATATCATTTTGCTATGCAAAATGTAAACCTTTTTGAGCTGTGAACATTACAAATCAGAGTTCTGACTATTCAATTTTATAATGTTTTTCTTCATTTGGTAGTAATGCAGGATACCTCCTTGGACTTTGCAGTTTGATGAATCAGCCCAAACCTATTTTTCTGAGAACCAGTATATTTGAGTGGTCATTCAAATTCTCCAAGGACTGATTCACATGTAGCACCCCTCCAGTTAGCCAGGGGGGTAGCTAGCTAGGTTTTTTAGTTAGAGGCTTGATAGCAGCCTGGTATGAGTCAGCCTGGGATGAGTCAGCCAGGTTACTTCAGGCCAGGGCTGAGGGCTCTGCAGGTCAGTTTCCTGATACCCTCTCTGCTCTAGAAGCTTGAGAAGTTTCTAGAAGGCAGTGGGTGGGGGTGAGGAGGGGCTAATCTGCATATTCAGGGGACTTTGACCAATCCCCAAACAGAAGGCTTGGCATGGGGTTGGTGCAACCCTTAAGTGTGGGAGAGCCTAATAAGGAAGTGGTCAGTGTTGGGTGGAAGATGATGTGAGAAGGCTGGAGTGCGGAGCCTGAGCGGGGGACCCAGAGAGGAGCCCACCTGCAGGCAGGATCTTGGAAGGATGATCTCTCAGCCTCAATCATCCCCTGAGAGAGGAAAGCTTGAGAAGCAAAGAAGAAGCCAGCCCACTGTAAGGCCTGAAGGCAGCCACCAACCTCATATGCTTACAGGAGAGGTGAATAATACTGCACCCCCTGGGCTGGATAAGGGGAGAGGCAGCCAGATGGCAAACCCAACTAGCTCCTTGTCCGGGGCTCCTCTACTATTGTGGCCGTTTCTGGGTCCCCTTGCCCAAGATTTCCCTCAGGCAGCTGGGTGAAGCAGAGGATTCATCTGGGGTCTGTAGAGGTACACCAAAAGGGCTGAAGAGCTTTTTCAAAAAGAGACTATTTGTCTATGGATTTGTACATAGTTGCTAAGGAAATCTGTCCTCATGTTCACAGTTCCTTGGGCATCCCATATGCCCCTCAACCCCATTTTATACTCTTTAATAAAATCACAAAAAAACAAAAAAAAAACAAGCTCAAGGGACTGTTTACTGTCTCCAGTGTGCATGTTTTGAAGAAAATGCATGTTGCCTGGCTATGTAGGACTATAGGGAGACCCAAAATGCCTAAGGGGGTAGTGCTACACACTTAAGCATTTCATGACAGTACTTTAATACACGCACGTCAAAGTGTGTTATGGCAAGCATCAACATGTGATACATTAAGGCAGTCAGTTGCTTATGAATATATTGCCGAAAAACCCCAACCCAAAAAAAAATGTCCATGACACTTTTAAGCAATGTAGCACACCACAGTGCATGATATGTGTGTTGTGCTGCTCTGGGCTGCATTGTGTGTTGCTGCCTACCGTGCAGCATGTTGAGGTACTATTCAAAATAACTGGAAGCATAGTGTACCACACATAGAGCAAGTGTATTGCTGTACATTGTGGTAACGTGAACACCTTACAAGTGTGAATAGACCTTCAATAAAAATAGGCTTAAAGTCCTACTATAACTGCAAGAGGGCAGTTTGTGGTTGGTAATCTCCTTGAAAATAAAACAAACTTAGTTCCTAACAAACTTGCAAACCAAAGCTGTCACTCAGGCCGGCAATAATAATTTCTTCTACTCCAGTTGTTTTTACATATCATTCTTTCAAAAACAAATTATGCGAAGGTTGGGGAGTGAACTCTTATTTAATATTATAGGAGTAACAGACTGTTACTAGTTAGATTTCACCTTAAAACATTAAGTGCAATAAAGATAAATTAATAATTATGTCTATGCAAATAAGGTGGTGGTGGGGGGGGTGACTTTCCTTAGTATGATTTAAAAGGAAAACTCCAGCTTCAGTAAAAGCAATATAATGCAGAAATAATTGCTAAACAAGCCATACTACATTTTCATACTCTGAAAATTATATTTCCATCTCAACCATGGTTTCTATCATTTATCCCCTTCTACAGCCGGCAAAAAGTGTCCCTGCATGAGAGCTACGCTATTTTATGACAGTTATCTGAACAGTTCCTTCACATTTACAGCGGTTGAATTTTGTATATATTTGTTTACATTTAGGAGTACAGATGTTTCTATTCGGAAACATATAGATACTATGTTGTCATACGCTGTAATTGATGAAGGAACTGTCGAGAACTGTCAGAAATAGCGGGAAGCTCTCTGCCAATACCCTTTTTTGCTTGTACTGGAATTCTTCTTAATTTTCCATTCTTCTTCTATTTTCTTATTTTCATTCTTCTTCTTTTCATTCTTCTTCTCCTTCTTCTTCTCTTCTTTTCATTCTTTTCTCCTTCTTCTTTCATTTCTTCTTCTCCTTCTTCTTCTCCTTCTTCTTTTCATTCTTCTTCTCCTCCTTTTCATTCTTCTTCTTTTATTATCTTCTTATTTTCATTCTTCTTCTTCTTATTTTCATTTCTTCTTCTTTTATTTTCATTTTCTTCTTATTCTTATTTTCATTTCTTCTTTCATTCATCTTCTCCTTCTTTAATTTTCATTCTTCTTCTCCTTCTTCTTTTCATTAATACTTCTCCTTTTTTCTCCTTCTTCTTTTCATTCTTCTTCTCCTTCTTCTTTTCATTTTTCTTCTCCACTCGCACGCTGCTCGCTCACTTCTTTTTACATTCTCTTCTTATTTATCATTCTTTTCTCTTCTTATTTTCATTCTTCTTATTATTATTATTTTCTCTTCTTCTTCTTCTTATTTTTCTTCTTCTTTTCTTCTTCTTATTTTCTCTTATTTTTCCTTCTCTTCTTCCCCTTTTTCTTATTTTCCTTCTTCTTCTCTTCTTATTTTCCCTTTTTCTTTTTCTTATTTTCCTTTTTTT